ACAATTATAAACTTTAAGCAGTTAATTTTAAGTCCATGCTGTCCTAGAAATCACTTTTCTAGGAGTACTTATCTGGGGTCACCCCCTCACCCCACACTGCATGCCCATGGTTGGGCTTTAAGAGGAAGCCCTGAAATGCACAAGTCAACCTTTTTGAAGAGGGGGGGTTCATGGTTTTCATTACATTCTCAAAGGAGTTCATGACCCAAAAATCATTATGAGCCACTAATGACTATTTTTGCTGTGTTCCATTATGCATATATACATGGTTTAAATCTCTTACAAACAACCTTAGCTTATTATCTACATAAGTCGTAAAATTAATATGCCAATGTCTATGTTTTCTTCCTGTAATTATAGATATTGAAATTTGATCATTTTTCCTTAATGTTCTTTTCCTTTCTTTACCTTTTATCTAACTCTTGTATACTTTTTACTTTAACGTGCAGAAATTTCAGTATTTGAAGGCAAGGCAATTTATTGCTCTTTCCTTTTGTTGTTTCTTTTATCCCTCTAATACTAAACTGTTATCCATAGTACAGAAATACTACACTTTTTGAACATTTGTGAACTGTTTATTTTCTGCTGAGACCATTGCAAAATTGATCTTTGGTGGAGCAAGGAGGTTATATTCATGGGTCCTTTAATTTATATAAAACACATAGCTTATTCCTCTCTGTAAATTATTTAATGCATTGAACATTTAATTAAATGTTCAAAGAAAAAAAGGTGTTACCCAAAACAATAATCTTAAATGTTATAAAAAATTAGTCATTTAAAGATACACTAGTTAAAAAATATCTCTTCAGTTTTTCTGTAGTCTGATACATATATACATACACATATATGCAGATATACACACACATATATATATACATACACATATAACTTTGTGACTTTAATGTTGTGTAGAATTTAGGTTGGTCTGTTTAATGCAATGTTCTATGCTTAGCTTGATCATTATATTCTTTTATTACATGAGGCCTTTAATGCACTATTATTGCTAGTATGCATGGTCTTTTAAAAGACTTGAATTTGTTGATCATCTGCCACATGGAAAAATTGGTTAAGTTAAGGTATGTGCCACTTTCAACAAGGAGCCCAGAAGACCTAGAATTGCCATGGTGTTCAGAGTCAGGCACATTTGTGCTAGTGTGGCCTGGCCTGCCTGTAATTTCATGACTTTCAGACTGCACCTCATGTTGTTTGTACACTATATACTTTGTGGTGGTTCTGAAATAGGTTGTATGGCAGTCTTTATAATTCATAAATCAAATATGATAAAACACTACTACTGCAAAATGCATCTTAACTGTTTTAAATATACTGCCTACTTTCTCAAAGTGCACTACAAACGTGCTGTAATAAAGCTTCCCCATTGATTTACAAGAGTCTCAGAAGAAGCTGTACTAAGTAGATGCAGAACATCTTTGGGGGGAAAAATTGGAACTATCAAATACTTAGTAAGTAAAGAATATGTCTATATTACAAGCAATCTTAGTAGTTTTAAGTAATGTCACAAAAGAAAATAGTTTAGCTTTAACAGTAGTTACTGTTATTGTTCAGCCAGCTGAAATTTGATTTTATAAACATATCACTAGCAAAAATTCTCTTAATTTTCCAAACTATTTTAATCTTTTATGTCGTTTTAGGCATTACACTGTGGTAGTAATTATTTTGTTTGTTTAAGCAGTAAAAATACTTGAAAAATAGAAAATTCATATATATGTAATTTAAATGAGGAAAGCAGTGACTCCATATTTGTACCTTTTCATATTTTAAGAAATTTTCAAAAATTGTATGAAATATACAGTTCATTAATTTAATACACATAGTTTAATACACATAATGAACCAAGAACAGAGATTAATTTTGAAAACATGTTAGTTTCATGGTTCAGGTGGAGTTTTAGCACCTTACAGAATAAAAATTCCACAGACTAAGTAATAACTTCTTTTAAAAAAATATTTTTAATTAGTTAATTTTCAAAATAATTTTTGGGTCTAAAAATTTTAAGTGGAAGAATAATTACAGAAACTTTTAATATTGTAGTTTTTCTGTAATCTTTATGTTTTCTATAGGTCAAATGGATATCCATTTGTGAAATAACATAAAATCTGCTTTTCTAAATACTTAATTTCAGAAAAACTAGGGAAAGTAAACTAGCATTGTTGATAACAGGCAAATCTTAATTTTAAAGGCAGCTTCAGGCATATCTGGGCTGCTGGAGAAAGCCCTCACATCTCTGTCAACACTTGAGTGACAGCAGCATGTTTTATTTCTCTCAGTAGAAAAAGGAGGGTGTGTAGACATAACAATACCTTAGTAGTTTGGGCTATGATGACAGTTTAAAGTTGTTTGGAAGATAAAATTGTTTAAAAAATTATTTAATATAGTTATGTACATAGGCTCTCATAAACACTTGCTCAGTTTAATTTGGGACAATTTCCAAATCCTTTGTAGATGCATCATATGCTACTTTGAATTATAGGTTCATTTGGAAAGCCCTGTCAATCTGAAAAATACTATGTTTTCTAAAATGTGGTATGTGCTTCTTAGAAGTCTGTCCTGTTTCTTTTTCTTTGCATTGCTGCTTCTTTCTGTGGATTATCTTTTTCTACTTGCTCCTTAAGAGTTGGTATTTCCTTAGATTCTATCTTAGCATCTCTTCCCATACTACATATTTTAGATTATTAGGCAATTTCATCCATTCCCATGGTTTTCCCAGATTTCTTCTACTTGAACCATTATTCTCAACTCTCGGCCTATCTGCCCACTTACCTATATAACATCTCCTGACATCTCAGGCAGTCCAAAGGTATGTTTAACATTAAGCTCATCTTTCTCCTCACATTTCCATCCAACTGTCCAAAGGGGGGGGGGGATGATACATATATATGCATATATATATAGAATATAGGTGCTTCTCTTCTTGTTTTGCAAAGCCCACTGCTAATAATCAGTAGGTCTGGAACTTTAGTTCAAGTCTTCTGAATGTGAATCCTCCGCTCAGAATGTGCTCTCTGTAATATGGTGACCTTATTTTCTGAACCAAAATTTAAGATTTGTGGTCCAACAATATTGGAAGCCTGAATTTGTTACTATAATTATAGCACATTGCTTTTTCATGTCACTATTAATTCATAGGCATTATGGTGGACAGATGCTAATAACAATACATATATAATGTAAAGTTGCAATTATGATAAGTACAAGACATTGTATGAGGTACACTGTGCATACATACATGCCAGTGTATAATTTGACCTAGTTAGGGAGAGCAGGTAATGTTTTCCTTGCAAGTGATGATTAAATTCAATGTGAAGGTTGAGGAATTCACCAGGCAGGATTGGGATAGAGAGAGAATGGAAAAGTGTTTAATTTAAGGAAGGTGCAATAGCTTACACAAAGATCCGGTGATAGTAGGTGCATACTATGTGTAAGCAGCTATTTCTGTGCAAAGAAATTTGCAGTCTTGTTAGAGATTTACTTCCTTCATTTCTTCCTTCCCTCTTTCTTGCTCTCTTCCTCTAAAAAATATTTGAAACTGAACTTTCTATTAAATTGGGAGTAGTAGAAAGCAAAATGTCATTGCTTTTAAACTACGTGGTAGACAGGGATTTGAATTAGAGGAACCATGGGGTTTCAGGAATAAACATAGCCAGGATTTATCTGTAATGCAACACCAAAAAGAAAAAGGTTTTGTGATGGTGTTATTTCCACTCTTCTTACCCAAAAATCAAAATCAGCACTTATAATCTGTGGAGAGCGGCTACAGCATTTGGACAGGTTTAAGCCTTGGGACTAATGAGAGGGCACGATCCTCTCATGGGAAAGCCATGCGCAAGTCCCAGCACAATTATAGCCAAAGGCTATAGTTGTAAGCTTGACCTTATGGTCCGAATCTGTGGTCCCAGGAGGCTGAGTGATGTGGACTTGATAGAGTTCAGGTGCATGTAATTGAGTAAGATTTGAAACCCGCGAGAGCATTGTAAATATCTTGACCATGCTCTTACTCTGCGTAGTGGAAATCTGGCACTGTCTCTCTAATCAGAGGGCAGCATCCCACCTAGCCCTAGCTTTATTCTCTTGTCTATCTTTTCTAATCCTTCACCGCTGCCCCCGCTACCCCCACCCTGCAACTCAGGTTCACCCATGGCTGTGCTGGCATGGCACAATAATCATTGCCCTAATACCTTTTGATAAATCAGGGAATAACTAAATCCCAAATAGTAAATTTCAAAATCTTTGCTTACATTTTAAGTGGATGTATTTTTTAAGTGCATTTTTTACTATAAAATGTAGTATTCCATATAATCTTTGTGTGTTTGAGAATTAGGGCAAGCTATGGAAATTCTATTAGACTATAAAGTGACTTTTGAACTACACTGAAGGACTCTCTGGTCTGTGGTATTCTTTTATTCTGTTTTATATGTATACTAGAGACCCGGTGCATGAATTTGTGCACCAGTGGGGTCCCTCGGCCCGGCCTGCGGGATTGGGCCAAAACTGGCTCTCCGACATCCCCCGAGGGGTCCCAGATTGCGAGAGGGCACAGGCCAGGCTGAGGTACCCCACCGGTGAACAGTCAGGGCTGGGGAGGGATGTGGGAGGGACCATGGGAGGGCCTGTCTTGTTCAGTCCTGATCAGCTGGACCACAGCAGCAAGCTAACCTAACGGTTGGAGCGTCAGGCCCCTGGTGGTCAGTGCACATCATAGCGAGCAGTTGAGCATCCTTAGCATATCATTAGCATATTACGCTTTGGTTGAATGGCTGACTGGACGACCAGACACTTAGCATATTAGGCTTTTATTATATAGGATGTATCATCCTTCAAAGGTAGTTCTGATGTTTGGCCCTCCAAACATTTCCTCATCTGCTCTTACCCAATTCTTGGAAAAGAACATTATATTCCAGGTGTAGGAAATTATTTTCAGTGTTTCATAACTTCCTTATTGTCTCTTTAAAAACTGAGTTTTTCTCTGTTTTTCTTTGCAGAAAGGGCTATTGCAAGACATGAAGTCCGAGAAATTGAGCAACGTCATACAATGGATGGCCCTCGGCAAGATGCAGCTTTAGATGAGGAAGATGACATGGTGATCATTTATAACAGAGTCCCCAAAACCGCAAGCACCTCTTTTACCAATATTGCCTATGACCTGTGTGCAAAGAATAAATACCATGTTCTTCATATCAACACTACCAAAAATAATCCAGTGATGTCACTACAAGATCAGGTAAGCACAACTTAAGGAATACATGTTGTATCTCAAGGGACAAAGCATTTTAAGGGATATGTGTGCTGATCCCAATGAATTGTAATCTGTTGGGGGAAGGGATCAACCACATTCTTTTGTAATTTTACTTTCTTCACATTTCCTTGCATATGGTATGTATTCATATATATATATGAAATAAATGAATTAATAGCTTGAATTTTCTAAGATAAAATTGCTGCTCTTCAATATGGTATTCTTTTTAAAATATACAATATTGTTAGCAAGATATTGTGCAATAAAAAACATTGTATTTTCTCAACTTATGATACAGAAATCTTTATTTGATGAAAACCTGTATTCTCTATTGCTCAATTTTGTGAATTTCATATTATCTTTACTAGTAATTTATGTAAATACTAGAGGCCCAGTGCATGAAATTCGTGCATTCATTGGGGGGTGGGTCCCTCAGCCTGGATTGCAAGAGGGCACAGGCCAGGCCAAGGGATCCCACCACTGCACGATTGGGGCCAGGGAGGGATGTGGGAGGTTGGCCACCCGGGGAGGGACTGTGGGAGGGCTCCAGGGCATGTCTGGCCTGTCTCGCTCCATCCAGATCAACTGGACCCCACCAGCAAGCTAACCTACCAGTTGGAGCATCTGCCCCCTGGTGGTCAGTGCACATCACAGTGAGCGGTTGAGCGGCCTTAGCATATCATTAGCATATTACACTTTGGTTGAACGGACGACTGGACACTTAGCATATTAGGCTTTTATTATATAGGATTAGTTATAAATTTTTGCAAAACAGGAATTGTGGCTTATACTTTAACATAATCTTGCCTTTTAAGTTGTCGGGAAACTTTAGATAAACAGATGGATAGGTAATTTTTTGGAATAGTTTTAAGAAAAGTGGAGGAAATTATCTTAAGAGATTTATTCGGCTCTTTATCAGTAATAGCACATATTTTCTCCATACCTGGAGTTCTAAATAAACTAGAGGCTCAGTGCAGGTGCACGAATTTGTTCACAGGTGGGGTTCCTCAGCCTGGCCAGTGATCAGGGCCGATCAGGGGGACCGACCGGCCATGGGGAGGGGCCGGCTAGGGGGAGGGGCTGTGGGAAGTTGGCTGTGAGAGTGCACTGATCACCAGGGGGCAGCTCCAGTGTTGCATGTCTGCCCCCTGGTGGTCAGTGCGCATCATAGCAACCGGTCGGCTGGTCGTTCGGTTGCTTAGGCTTTATATATATATAGATAAAAGTTCTTTCTACAAGTATTGAAGAAAATGGGTATTGAGTTTCATGTGAAGAAAAGATAATATTTGAAATACTATCTAGGATTAAACACCATATTGAGGTAGCCTTATTAGAAAGGTATTTGTGATACTTATATAGTTAGAATGTCTCCATTTGAAAATATCTGAACTTGTTTTATTAGTTGCAGAATTGACTTTGTTATCCCATTATTTAGCATTTCTATAATCCTTACTCTGACACAAGAGAATAACATTGATACTCAAGGTTAATGTTCACTTTCTTGCTTGAGAGCTGTTTCTAAAAGTCAATAGTATATGGAATATCATCTGTCCGTGTAATTCTTGGCTCTCTGCAGCATCCTCAATTACTCTTTTTCATAGAACCAAAAATCTACATCTGTCAGCCAAACCAAATAACTACTCTATAAATTGGAAGGAACATGATCATATTTAGTTAAGTGGGTCATAAAAACTATTTATTATGTAATATTGTATATCTAAAGGCAAGTATACTAAATAATCAGTTTTTAATACAGCAGTGGTGTATTTTAAATCTATTTGCATGATTGCTTTTCAGAATATATCTTGGTTTAAAAGGAACATTTCTTAATGCTCATATAATTTTAGATTTCTTTAGTAGTATTTTTTAGGAAGATAAAGTTAGCTTGCTTGTTCAATTTTTAGAATTGTTTTGTGTCCAGCATTACAGAGTGCTCTGACAGCTATGAGATGTCTGACAATGCATCTACCATTTTTTCAGGAAACATAAATCTACAGAAGCTTACCACATATGACATTTATAGGCATCATGTAGTGATACATTTTCCCAGTTGCATTTGGATGAGATAAAACTATTTTCTTTCAATAGCTTGTTAGTGGTAGAGAAGGAAAAAAAAGAGAAAACAGCAGAAGAGAAGCATAAACACTATCTTAAAAGCAATTGGATTACATAATGACCAACACTTAAAATATGTTTATGTGGGGAGAGTAAAGGAATAGTCTTAATCATTAGCCACATACTTCAACATGGCAGCTGGTAGCTGAGAACCTGCTCTTAACTAGGAATGGCATAGACACCAAGTGTTCTCTAATGCACCATATCTAAATTACTTACTGGTCTCTTGCTCTGTATAGAAACAGTTGTTCAAACAAGTTACAGTTACTACTTCTCTCTCCTGGGCATGACATATTAGATAGCATTTTTATTTCACATTCAATCTAGTAAACTTTATTTAAATATAAACTTCTAAATTATACTATTAGATGCTTTGATAATATTTTTAAGTGTTCTCTGAACCCTATTTTGCATAACATAATTTGATTTTCATGCCATATTTTTGTTCTTGTGTACTATCCTCAACTGCTTTATTATTCAAATAGGAATTAAATTCTCTTCTTTCTTCTCTGAGAAATCGTTTCTAATCAATATTTGACTAAAGTGAGACTTAAAAGATTAGATTTTATTAAATATGTCATTGTTTCAATCTTTCATTTAAAGCCCAGTTTACTCATAAGCTTAGGTGACCACTCCATCCCCCTCTAACCTCAGGAGTTCAATCTGCTTAATGCCTGCAGTTAGCCCTAGCTCTTTTCCAGATTTATTTCGTACATAATGTACTAGATACTGTGCTAAACTGCTTACATGTGTAATTACTTCTTTCAAAAATTTTAGAGGCAAAGCCCAAATATTTTTAGTCTAGTTTAAAACTATTAAATATGGGATAGTTATACATATTCTGCTATTTAAGAAACAGTTGTTAACTCTGCTTTTAAGTTTTCATTGACTATGTAACATATGCAGAGATTATGCTAAGGCTTGGAAAAAAAGCAAGGGCATATCTTTCAGGGAGCTTATTTATGATTTATTCAAGAGTGTAAAGCATAGACACAGAAACTTGAACAATGTTCAAAGAAAACATCAATATATGGTGTTCTCACAAAAAGGTTTAACCAAAAATATTTCTCACCCAAATGTTTAACCTGGATCTTATCTTGAGGTAACAGGTCCGTGTTGTAGAATATTCTCTAGAACAGTGGTTCTCAACCTTCTGGTCCTTTAAATACAGTTCCTCATGTTGTGACCCAACCATAAAATTATTTTCATTGCTACTTCATAACTGTAATGTTGCTACTGTTATGAATCGTAATGTAAATATCTGATATGCAGGATGGTCTTAGGTGACCCCTGTGAAAGGGTCGTTTGACCGCCAAAGGGGTCGCAACCCACAGGTTGAGAACTGCTGCTCTAGAACAACTGTTCTGAACTCTTCTGAAAATGTCAGTGTCGTGACAACCAAAGAAAAGTATGGGTTGTTGGGGGTGGGATGGAATAGTCTTCTCTACACAAGAGGAGACTAAGGAGACATGAAAACCAAAAGTAATGTGTGATCTGTGATTGGATCCTTGATCAAAGGTGCCTGCCACTTGCTTTCAAACAATTCAGGAAAAATTGTGTGTGTGTGTGTGTGTGTGTGTGTGTGTGCATCTATATCTATATTTATATATCTATACCTATACCTATACCTATATCTATACCTATATCTATATCTATATCTATATCTATATCTATACCTATATCTATACCTATCCCTATATCTAGGTTCTTTCAACTTTTCTGTAGATAAGGAATTTTTTAAAATTAAGAAGTTGGGATAAAATAAGAGAAAGTAAAAATGAGGAGACTAAAAGATAAACATGAAAACAAGGCATGAGAATACTAAGTAATAAGAATAAGGCAGACTCAGTTGTGAGGGGTATGTTTTTGAGATGGGCTTTACTCAGTTAATAGACAGGAACTGGCAGGAGACAAGTACTCAATCAGTTGTTCTACTTGGAAAATTAAGTTTACTCTGCTATCATGAAAATACCTCTACATTAAAGAACATATTGTCTTTAAAGTAACAATGTCAAATTGTAAGTGGTACCAGTCTTTTATGATATTACTCAATTCTTTCTGTTCTCATGTATTTAGGTCTGTGACTGTATTTTACCCCTTTCTGTAAGACATTGAAAATAATGTAGAATTTGCATTCTGTGTAGGACAACATAGTAATTTTTTGTTCTTTAATTCACCGTTTAGCCAACTTCTGTTCATTTGCATCGGATCTTATGGCTTGATATTAGTTGTACACACTGCTTTTTCAGCACAGCACTTTAGATGAGTGCTTCTCAATCTATAATGTATATCTAATCACCGATTAAAATGCAGATTCTGATTCAGAAGGACTAACATGCAGCCTGATATTCTGAGTTTCTAAAAAGCTTCTGTTGTGTTGAGACCTCCTTAGAAGGTAATCTGAAATCAGCCTCCATACGTGGAGGGCTGGGAGAGACAGAAGGCCTTAACTGGGTTTAGTCATATACGGTCCAGATAGTCTCATCACCACATTCTGTCGCAAGGTTATGTCCTTGGGCAGCTTCTAACACAGGGAAGGCAAGCAGAGCACACATTCCAAGGACAGGGGAGAGAGTGGGAGCTTCCAGTTGCCCCTGTCCAGTTTGTGGGCCAAACCAGCAGTCATGTCTTCTTGATGACCTTCCCCATCGGCTCCCACTGATGTCAAAACCGATGCTTCTGGGCCTTGAACCACAGTTGGAATAGCAAAGATCTAGAACATGATTCTCAGTGGGGTTATGGGAACATGTGTATTATAATCTTCTCAGGGTGGTGAGGTACTTATATTCTACCTACCCAAGAAAATCCAAATTCCTTACGTAGACCAATGAGCCCTTTTTGGTCAAGTCCTTCTCTGCTCTCACCGCTTA